CTTTACGAATAGAATTGGAGCTCTTGCTGGAGATTTTGAATGGCGTATGAAATTCTTCGCTAAATTCTCGTCAATATATGTCTTGAGTTCAGCCATCTCATCTTGCGATAAACTGTAAATTGGTCCAAATGGTGGCTGAGTTCCTTCCTTGAGGTCGATTGAACAATCATATGGACGATGCTCAGGAAGAATATCTGCATTCTTTTTCTCAAAAACGTCTTGATACTCTTGATATTGACTTGGAATGCCACTTGAAGTCTTTACGTTTTCAGAAATAGGTGCAGCATAAATAGCAAAAGTTGATCCTTCTTTTGCTGCATGTATAAATGCTTTTGCACCTATCAATACGGGTTTTACTATACTAGACTTATAATTTTTTACTTAGTTAGTAGAACTATTAATAACGCTTTGGAAAAAGTCAAGTTTATGCGAATTCCAATCTATTCAAGGGTTATATTTTTCTAGCCAGGATAAACCTAAAATAACTGGATTGGACGGGGATTTAATTATGTTAAAAGCTATGTAGCTATCATGACCGTCTATTGTTACTTTTATAGGATGAGTTTCATGAGTGACATCTCCAGAAGACAAGGGACGACCATCTATGACTTCTACATGTACTGGTTTAGGTTTCTGTACAAAAGGTATTTTACGACTTTTAACAAATTGTTCATCTAAAAAACATGCTGAGGCTCCTGAATCTAATAAAGCAGAGGCTTTGTAATTCTTATGTCCTAAATATAAGTCTATTATAAAACAAGGAGAGGGTTCTGAGGAGAGGATAGGACCTTCATTAGGAATTGTACAAGGTTCCAACTGCATGGTCCCTATTGTAGCTGGACGAATCCATTTTCTGACATGTTGTTTTCTTTGACCGTCGTACCCCTCATTTTATAGTTGCGTCGCTTCTTTGGACAATGTTGAGCAGTGTGCTTAGGTTCTCTGCAATATAAACATAATCCTTCTTGACGACGACGAATCTTTTCTTGCTCAGTTAGGGATTTAAAACGTACTGCATCAATTTGCATATCTTCTACTTCCGAATGTACGTTTGGCAAAGATGTTGATGTTGCCATTGAGTAATAACGTTGAGGTTCCTGTGAATGATTCTCAGATCGAAATTCGAAAAGTCGATTATCACATTTTACCGCAAAATCGATTGCTTGACTCAAAGTTTGAGGATCAGGTAAGTTGAGCATCAATTTCTTTACTTCGTATTGCAATCCATAAAGAAATTGACTGATGAGTGCAGCATCATCTCACTTGATGTCAATTGCAAGTTGTCGAAATTGTAAAGCATACACTGTTACTGAGCGATTTTCTTGTCGCAGAATTCGGATCTTATTTGTTGCAACACGAGTTGCATCGTGTTCACCATACATAGATTGAAACTCCGCCAAAAAAGCTTCCAAATTGTCCAATATTGGATTTCGTTGTTCAAGAAAAGACGAAAACCACGATAATGCAGAACCAGAAAGTAGAGTGCCAATAAACCTGACTTGTGATCCTGAAGTTAGATAGCTTTGCGGTTGAAGTTCAATTGCCAATTGTACTTGATTGATGAACCCTCGAAACTTAAATCTCGTACCATCAAATTTCTCAGGTAAGGCAATTCTTGGTTCTCTAGTGCTTACAGGGTGTTGTACAATTGGAGAAGGAACGTGATTTGTTGTAGATGTTGAAGCAGCTCCGATCATCTCTATATCCTCACTTTCTGCTATTCTTGTTCTTTCATGTGTTGGTGAATTGAGTTGATGCATCGCAAGCATTAACTCCCTCATTTGCTCTTGCATTTGTGCCATTGCACTTTTCATTTCAACAAGCTCTGCCATAATGACACTAAGGAGAAAAATTTGTTTGATACTGCTCAAGACAAAAGAAAAGAAAGACTTGATAACAAAGAAGATACTAAGAACAATATTAGTTTAGAAGTGGGTAATCCGCAAACTTCTAATACGCTTATGTCTTGTCAAGAGAAAGGGGTAATCCACTCTCACTCAAGAAAAATAAAGCTCTGATATTGTAAGTGTACTCTTGTCAATTTGTCAAGGACAAAGACTCGATGAGGGAAAATATACACAAAAAGGCTATCTCGATATAATAAGTCAAAATATAAACAAGTAGGTATATTAAAAGGAAACTGGAATGGCTATTGCCACAAGACAAGAAACTAAAGACTCTTGAACCTGGACTAGAAGCAAGAAAGGAGTTGACAAGAGTGAAGAAGCCTTCACTCTTGTCTCTATATATACTATCTTACTAAGGGCTACGTGGCGACGTTCTATAGGACCTCCAATATATGTTGACTTTGTAGGACACATGCCTTGACTTACAAGGCAAGTTTTTTTTACGTGTGGGCCACATAGTTAGCTTGATCTTCAAGCTAACAACATGTGTGGCACATGGCCAACTTGTTGACCACGTTTCTAATCCAAAAAGTCAATTAAAGATACCTATGAAGTCAAAGCAGCGTCTAGGAAGTTTCTAGGAAGCTTCTATATTAAATATTATAGAATTAACTTACTTTTATCTACTTTTACTTACTTCTACCTATTTCTATATGTAATTATTAGCTTACATGATTATGGCCGTGACAATATTTAGTCCAATAACCTTTTGCTTCCAAAACAGCTGAAATCCTTCTTGGCATACTTTTGTATAGTTTCTCACAATCTTTTGCATCAAAACTAGGGTAAATACTACAAAAATTCTCCCACAATTCTTGAACACCTCTTGGCCTTGGAGTGACTTGGCTTAAATACTGTTTGAGAAGGGCCCAAAAATGTTCCATTGGATTCAAATCTGGAGATTGATCTGGCCATCGAAGGAGCTGAAATGGCTGTGAAGAGAGCCAAAACTGAATACTTTTTGCCATATGTTTGGGATCATTATCATGTTGAAAAACCACCTTAGTAGGATCTAAGTTGTAATTCTGTGTGGTACTTTGCAAGTAGGTTTCTAAAATTTTTTTGTACAAGTGTTGCTCTATTCTACCTTCAATTTGATACCAAGCACCCGGCCCAAAAGCAGTCATACAACCCCAAATCATAATTGAACGACCACCATGTTTGACAGTTTAACTAACATGTTTAGGTCCAGGTCGTTCTCCTTCTCTCAACCAACACCAAGACCTACCATTTGAGTTGATTAGGTTAATCTTTGTCTCATCACTAAAAATAATCCGTCTCCAATCATCAATAGTCCAATTTTTGTATTTATGAGCAAAACTCAACCTTGCAAGAAAATGTCTTTTGGCAAGTAGAGGCTTCTTTTGTTGCACACAAGCACCCAAACCAGCTTCTTTCAAACCACGCCTCAAGGTGATGTCTGAGAAGTATTTACCTATTTTTTCTCGAAGTTGTTTTGCAGCTGCACTTGCCGTTTTGAGACAACAAGCAGTGACAAGGTGCACACCAAGTCGCTTCTCTTGCTCTCCTAAAACCTTTGGACGTCCTCCTCTTTGCTTTTCTATTTCACCACTAATCTCCCTCCTCAGATGAGCTACTGAAGACTGACTCATTCCAAGTGAGTCTGCAACTTTTCTTGTAGAAACACCACTCCTAAGCTGCACCAATGCTTGGTGCTTCAATGATTCAAACAACCGAGGCATAGAGATACAATTGACAAATCAACTTTCACTATAGATAGTACAGAACAAGAGCAAGACAACAAACAAAAAATGCCCTCAAATCTTGCAACAAGGAGTGTACATTGAAATTTCGAAATTCAGCAAGAAGAAGCAACCAAAACTGAGTACGCACGTCTGTGTGCTTCTACAACACTTTTCTCATAAACCCTACCTCAAATGATAATGAGATTTTTCATCCATGTAGAGGACTTGATGAATACACATAATAAAAAAGTAATTCTATCAATTGACTTATGTGTTAGTTGGAAGGATCAATGAACTATGAGTGTTCAGATTTTGTACTCGGTTTTGTTTGTCACTGTATAAATAAATAAATAAATAAAAATAAAAATATATTTATTCAACTTAATAGATAATAATAAGATACTCCAAGATTCACTCCAAAAATGATATGTTGTTATCCACACACATTGTCGAACCATGATTTAAGTGCAAGAGTGCAACTTGCATGCCACATGGTTGCCGAGGTATTTGCCTGCCTTGGACCACCATTGTCAGGTGGGGTTGCAGAATTTGCACACAAGCTAACGGTGATCACGAGGAGTGCTCAATTCTAATACACATATTGTGAGCTTTGTCAAACCAGTTCTATTCATGTTTATCTCTCACCTACTTGGCCAATTGGAGAAACCAGAACTGGAATCTAGAACTAAGATCCTCTCAGCGTTGATCCTTCATTGGGTGTTTGTTGCAATCAGAAGCGGAACTTGAGCCAATTTCGCTAGATGTTTCTTCAACATTTGTGACGTCTTCATTGGTTTTGGTCTCTGTTTTTAGATGATTCCCACATCGATGTGGCCTGGTGGATTCAGAATTGTCATCTAGGTTTATATTCGTTTGTCATGTACCACACTTTCGTCTGAGTGAGGAGAGACCATCTTGAGCTGAGTACCCAACTCTGTTTGACTCAGGGCGCTTCACAACCCCAGATCCGAGTACAAGTCGATTGTGTAAGAAAGCTGCGTACTCCGCATTTCAGGTCCTAGAAAAGTATGATTGACATGAACCTTGAGTCATTCATGGCCCATCTTGTCCACCACATTACTAAAAACGTGGGATTGAGAATTTTGTTGGCGAAAACCTCTTGTCAAACATGCAACTGCTTCTTACTGGATATGTAGCTACCGTTTACTCAAACTTCATCAGTTCCACATGAATATGCAACTACCATTCAAGACGGAAATCAGGCAACGGATAAACTGGCCAGCAATATGTATATGCTGATCACGAGTGCCTCTTGGCTTTTCACGTCCAACTCTTGGACGCCATTGCTCATATAGATATTGCTGTTTATACACACAACGTAGGACACATTGAACTCAATTTTTTAACGGCTCCTACCAACTCATTCTGTGTCTTGACATGGTCTTATTCTGAAGAACCGTTTTCATTGAAGCATAACTTACAAGCATGAACTTGGACAAGGAATGAATTAAGAAAAAAAATGCGTCTGTTACGTCGTTAAGAGACATACCAGGCAATAAATTCCCACATTCCGTTTAAGGTTATAGTGCTCTGCTTTGTTAGCGTTGCAAGATCAACACAGTCTACTGATCATCGATCATTTATGCGCATGTCATCGGAGAAGGGCGAGGCAATGTTCCTGTATAAACGTCGAAGGAAGAAGAGAAACGGACACATAGGACTTGATTTTCAGCACATTACTTGAATTTCTCCAGCACCGCCTTTTTGCGAGCAAGATAGTCCCTTAATTCGTCGTTGTAAGTGTCCCACACACAAGGGTCACATCCCGAGCCACAACAATCGCCTGGAAGTGGCCTTTCAGGAGGTTCTCCAAGCTCTTCCACAGCCAAGTCCTGAGCTCTAGCTTCATCTTCAATTACAACTTTTTCGGTTACATTTTCAGCCTCATTAGGTTTGCCGGCTTCATTGCCTCCTGAGACAATATCCTTTTCGAGTTTCTCGTCCAATTCGCTGGCCATTGCATCCTCAGGACGCACCAAAGTCCCCGATGCCTTCACTGGTTCATCTGCTTTGGTAAATTCTTCTGCAGCAGCCTTCTGCTCAACCTGGCCTTCCACGCTTCTATTCACATCAGTGACTACTTTCGAAAAGTTGATCACACTGACAGAACATTCATACGTCTCAATTCCCTTCAAACCCTTATCAATTCCTTCCATTGCCCTTTCATAGTCATTCTCATCCGTGTTTCCACGCCCTGCGACAGCAGAGCTGACCTGCCCCATGGGCAAACAATCACCTCGGACAGCTAGAATCCACAAGCGGTACAGAGAATTTTCCCTGATGGGAGTCATGTATTGCTGCAGTTGGCAAAGAGTAACTTTAGCATCCACCAACTGGCTCCAACTACGATGGAGAGCAGGGACCACAGACCCACTTGTACTCTTTCTAAACCTTAAGGTTACAAAACCCTTCAGTGCATGCAAATGTGACATCAACAAGGATTCGGAATCCTTCCTCCTTGCAGATAGTCCCGAACTTATCTCCTTCCCGAAATCAGTTCCAATCCCACAGACCTCAACGACAGCTACAAACAAGATCAAAGCAACTTATCAACAATCCAGCATTCCAAAATCACGTCTTTTGCTCAAACCCTAAAAATCTCCGCAGAGAGCTCCCTTGTGTCCAATGACCAGAAACAACGCTCCGCTCAATTTCCTCAACATAATGCCCTCAAAAATCACACCAAGCAAAAAAAAAAAAAAAACAAAGCCACTGATCCGATTAGAACGAAGTGCATCAGAACAAGACTTCATTAAAAAAAAATTGTCTTTCTGCTTGGCTAAACGGGAACAGGATAATGCCAGCAAAAATCGCCTATCAGCTAGCACGTTGCACAGAATGACTTGCTGCTAGAACTGACCCTGGCTACGAAACGTGAAGGAATGTTGGCGATTGATGGGAATAACACCTTAGTTATGGAGTGTATTGTGAGATACGGTGAATTCGGTGAAAAGTTCCCAAAAAAACGGCTTTCAAGTTTGCCGATTGATTCTGTGTCATAAAGCAAGCAAAGTTACCACGCTTGTTTTACATGAACTCATCCTCATCGTTTACTGCGACCAGGTGTGCCAAACTACAGAGCACCTTATGACGACCCTTCTTTTCCTCAATAAGAGAAGAGAAAATAATTTAACGCACTTTTATAATCGTAACAGTAGCCACCATCAGCTTTTAGAAATACCAAACTAATTTGAATGCGTCACAAAATAAAAGCAAACAAAGAAATCTATCAGAATCAGACTTAAACATCTTAAAGCTCACAATATACCATAACAGGTCAAATTCATTTACCACTGCACCAGATTTGCAGAAAGTATGATTTCGTTGGCGAAACATTTCCAGTCAACATGCAGCCCATCAATTGCCCTGCTGCGTTTTGGGCAGTTTTATTGGGATTAAAAAGAACATGAAGAGAATAGTGTTGCCTGGTTTGGCTCATTGATACATTGTGTTATAAATAGAGCTTGATTCCAAAAGATGATTTTTGTGTTACATGTTGCTGGTTATTTACAGTGACTCCGAATATCCTATGTGGATCTTAATGCGTTTTATGGTGCGGTTAGGTATTCGTAACAAGGAGACTACGAACTCACTTTGTTAGTTTACATCCAGAGCTGAATGATACACAAGAGAAGAAGTGCTTTGTTCATTTCCAACACTTCCGCTCAAACGCACTTCCTCTTTTGTGAAGGATGTCTGTTGAATCAGTGTGTGGTTTCAATTAGCCCTTATAGCATTTGATAAGAAAGCATTATTGTTGTTGTAGTATCCTTCTATTTTTGTGTCATGTGCTCTTCTTCTTTTAACCTTCTCTATTTTTTCTCCTATAGTGGGAGGTTCTACTCCTTAGCATTTAAGTGTGTGCAAATGCTCTCCAAAAGGTATGTATTGTAATTATTTAGCATGTAGGTTTTATCTCAAATTGGGTGTAGAGCTTGAACTTTTGGAGAATAGAGTAGATCCAAGTTTGTCGCCCTTATGCTATTTGATAGGAGGGTTTGCTTGCAATCCTAAACCTTTGTTTTTGTTGCTTGTGCACTCTAATGAGTTGATTCAAGATAGGATTTTCTTCCATCTATTTTCTGTTAGAGACTTGTGTTTGTTGTTTAAGCTTTGCAGTTTGAACAACATTAGAAACAATTAGTTGATGCTTCCAAAGAGTGGGCCATTTTGGAGTTTGTGAGAGTTAATATCCTTGGTTATATGCATTCTATTTGAGTTAGAGATTAGAGGCCACTAGATATTAGAAAGAGGTTCCATATGGAGTTGAAATATTTTGAGCTATTCTTAGGTGAAGATTTTTGCTTCAATAATATTATTATTTTAAGTCCCAAAGATTCTATGTGTGTTGGATCCAGTGATGGTATATAATCTCAACCCTTTTTGTAATGATTTTATGGCCAAAAAAAGAAATAATTCTATTTGCAAGTTTTTGCCTTAATGAATCAATTTGTTTGTAGGTAGCAAGACTTCATTGTAGCCAAGAAAGGAGTTGGCTGTGTGATTATCGTAGTTGGCAGCACTTTAATGGATTTCAATAGTTATTAGAGCTAAGTCTCTTTAATAGAAATTTCATGTAGTTTTAGCATAGTAGTCATCAAAGTCCAATGTCCTCCAACAGACTAGTGGGTTGGAAGACACTTAATAGTTCTGTGATTATGTTGACTTGTAAAGTTTGTTGAGAAATAACAAACTTTTATGTCTTCAATATATATATATATATATATATATATATATTTTCCATAAAGTGTCATGGATATACATATTTATTTAAATAATTACCTATATGGTTAGGTAGAAGTAGGTAAAAATAAATTAATTTCATGATATCTTTTAATACAACTTTTTAGAAGTTTCATAGAAACGGTTTTGACTTTATACATGTTTGTAGTTGATTGATAAGTTAGAAACTTGGTCAACAAGTTAACCATGTGTCACATATGCTGATAGCTTGTGGAATAAGCTAACTATGTGGTGTATATTTAGAAAAATTATTTTGCAAGTTAAGATATGTATCTTACAAACTCAACATGTGTTGGAGGTTTTATAGAACATTGCTACATAGCTTTTAGTTAGATAGTATATATGGACATAAAAGTGAAGCCTTCTTTAGTCTTCTCAATGCCTTTCTTATTCTTAGTCTAGTTTCAAAAGTCCATACTCTTCTTATGTTTAGCAATAGTCATTCTAGTCTTTAATATTATATTACTTTTATAGTGAATATTTATTCTTCTTGAATTATATAAGATTATTTTAAGGTTCTTCTTGTTTTGATTCATGTCATTCACATAAAGTGATATTTGAATTCTATATATTTTATATATATATAGAAAATTGGATTACAAATTAACTTGAGATAGCTTTGGTTGTTGCTTTATAATAATGTGGACTATTCTTCACTTATTTTTAATTTTTTGGATAATCACCATAGATGTTTAATGTTGTAAGCTGCCTCCATTAGGACATGATATTTAATTTCTATTAAAGAGAGGGCGACTACCGATTGTTGTTTGCTATACCAATCTTTTAATGAGACTTTGAGCTTATGCAATATCCTTGATGTAGATCTTTGAATGACTCAATTTCTAACAAAATTGACATTGTTGTATTATATGTGTTCTTACTTGAGAATACACCAAGCACCTAGCTATGAAAGGTAAGTAAAATGCAACAATAATTCTACCAAATCTAATAGAGTCTTAAATAAACTTCAGGTAATCTCTAGTAAATCCAATCAAATTTTAATATATTAAAATAAATTTAAAAGAAGTCACAAAAGAAACACAAAGAAGTCATAATTTAATATCAAAGAAAAATAAAAAAGGATATTTAAAAAATATAAAAATAAATCTTTAAAGAAATAAAAATAATATTAAAGATATAATAAAAATAAAAAAATTAAAGAAATAATAAAAAATCCTAAAGAAATACTAAAAATAAGAAATCTAATATAATCATAATTAAATCTTAATCAAATCTTAGATCAAATTATAATTAAAACCTTAATTGAACCTTAATCAAACCTTAAATCAAATCCTAATGAAATCCTAATTGAACCTTAATCAAATCCTAAATCTAAACAAACTCTTAATAATCCTATAGCAAAATAGAATCTCAACAACTAATAATCAAATTATTGATATCAACTCAAAATTTGCACACTTTTTAATATCTTAGTTAAAAACAAGCGCAAGAAAAATAAAATTGATTGTACTTATCAATTGAAAGAAATGCAAGATAATTCAATTGGATATTAGGTGACTTCCTACTACAACTTAAATGTTAAACTTCTAATGCTAATATTTCCTTCTTGAACTGTTGAATTGCTCTCAAATTTCGTTCAAACCTTGGAAATCAAGTCTAGTATCTATGAAAAAAAATTCACTTCAATCTAATTGAAAAATTATTAAAGATCTTAGAAACACTTAGTGACCTTCAAACTTCAATTTCTAAGACCTTAATCTACAAAAATCCTCATATACTTTAATCTAATTGTTTGATTGACTTCAAAATTTGCATACACATTTACTACTAGTACACCAATACATTTTTCAAATTTTACTTGTACATATGTCACAAAATTAAAAAAACCCTCAAATTTATGAACACATTTTTTTATTTTTCAAACCTTAATCCTACAAAGAATATTATAAAATTTGAAAATCCTTCAAAATCTCAATATTGATTCAAATGACATGAAATCAATGCTTATTTTTTTTTTTTTAAGTCTATCCTCAAATTTCACTCTCCAATCTACAAAAGAACTCTATAATCACCATAGGTGCACAGTTTTGTACCTCAAGGTCTAATTTTGATCTAGGTTGACAACTAATCCTCTTTGGTTATCAATTCTTAGCTTCTTGAAGTAGTTTTTGTTAAAATCTACTCTAAACTTCCTTCTACACATGCCTATATTATTTAATTTTTAATTAATTAATTAATTAATTTATTTATTTGTCTTATTTATGGTCCTATATAATAAATAGAAGTCCATTTTGTAAAAAAGTAGCATTAGCACTTTTTAGTTTTACTATCTTTTTGACTATTATTTATATTTTTAAGATAATTTGCTACAATATTTTAAAATAAGATCTTCCAGAATATAATATTTTCTTCTTTCTTTCATTCATTAGCTATATTATATCACAACAATGTTTGCATAAGAGATCAAAGGTCTTGTATCTTTGTATTTATAGAATAGAGCACAATTTAGAGTTTCCTTAATATATCAAAATATGTTTCTTATTGCTTTCATGTGGGTCTTTTGTGGTTGGATGAGGTATTTATTCACACCTTTTATTGCAAGTGATGAATTAAGCCTTGTATTTGCGGCCCAGATTAGGCTGTCCATCATACTTTGATATAACTTGAGAGTAGTGAAAAGAAAATTCATCTCTATTTAGAGGTGAATATCTAAACTTGTCAAAACCTTGAGCAAATTATAATTTTCAATATCATACTTTTTTAGAAGATTCAAGAAATATCGACATTAATAAAAAAATAAATACTTTTGTATATACATATTAATTCTATTTATAGATAAAGTATCTTATTTTTAAAGCTGATCGTCTTAAATTTTATTTAGAGCAATATCTTTATTTTATCAATTTTATCATAATTGTCACCAATTATAAATCATCCACATAGAAAAAAACCATTGTATATTTCTTGTACATGATGAAAAAGTAGAGATTTGGATTGAAGGCGTTCTTTTGCAAATTTAGATTTCTTGTGAGATAAGCATGTATGTGGCTATATTATATACAAGAAGCTTGGAGCAACCCATACAAGGCATGTTTAGCTAAGCAATCTTTTTCATTGAGTCCTTGCTCCTAAAACCATTTGATATCACTTCTTTTTCCATTATTCTTTTCAAAAATGTGGACATAATATCAAATTAATTGATTTTCCATTCCTTTCATATACCAAGGGCGATGGTGGTGCAGATTATACTCTAGCAAACTACTAGGATGAAGGTCTTATTAAAATCCACCCCTTTAATTTGTTGAAAGTGCCAAATAACTATTCAATTCTTTTATTTGATGATTTTTCCTTGTACATTTCTTTTGATTTTGAAAATCCATTTTGCTATTATAGTTTTTTTTTTTTTTTTTTTTTTTTTTTTTTTTCTCATAGATCTCTTACTTCCTTGACTCCATTTTTGTGGATAGAACGTACTTCCTTTACAATTGTCTTTTATCATGTTTTGTTGATGATAGCCTCATTGTAGTTTGTAGATTCTTCTTTGTCAGTAATTTTAATGAAAAAGGTGAGGTGATCCTTAAGTCATATGGAAGGCCGTCAATATTACATTGGATATCAGTTTATTGATGATATTTTTCCCCCTCTTTATTTCTTGTGATATTGTTTGGAGAAAAGAGTTTCATCAAAGTTACTATTTGTGGTGATGTGCTATTTTGAATCAAGTTTCTACTACCTTGATTGATTAAGTCCAAAGTGGTTTTAGATAGTGTAGGGTGCAACTATTTGTTTGGAGAGTATAGGCCTTCTTTGTGGATCTGATCATTGCTAAAATTAACTAATTATTTTCTAATTTTGTAATTGTTGGTAAAAAAATGGTAGTCAAAAGTGAAAGGATTTGTCTTCTATCAATTATCTTTGTTTCAGGTGATGATATATAATATGGTTTTCATTAAATATAGCATCTTATGTTATGAAGAGCTTTTGTCTTTTCAAGTTTGTATACTCTATAAACTTTGGTGAGATGATTATATCCTACAAACAAGTGTTCTCTACTTTTTCTTTTTAGTTTGTTTCTTTCTTCCTTTAATATATGGAAATAATAAATACAATCAAAGACTTTGAGATTACTTAAATTTGGTTTTTTCTTTGTGTACTTTTGTTCATGAATAACTCCATGATTTTCTTATATGGAATCATGATTTATAAGATAATTGGTTGTATTTATGACTTTTGACTAGAGAAAATTATGTATGCCTCCTTCAAACACCATGCTCCTTGTTTTTTCTACCAATGTTTGATTTTGCCTTTTTGCAACTCTATTTTACTATAGAATTTGAGGTTATATAAGTTGCTTGCAAATTCCAATTGTATTGCAATAGTCATTGAATTTTTTTGACAAGAATTCTCTACCTCTATTATTTTAAGGATCTTGAGTTTTTTTTTTCTTTTTTTTTCTTTTTTTTTTCTTTAAAGATTTTGAGTTTGTCAAATACTTCTCTTTTTGTTTTTAAAAAATAAATTTATTTTTTTTAAAATGATCATGAATAAATATGACAAAAAGTCTTGAACTGCTTAAAAATTCTTTAAAGAGTAGTCCCATCACATCTAAATAGACAAGTTCTAATACATGGTCAGTTCTTATGTACTTTTGATAAGAAAACTTTTTCTTCTTTGATAACTAATTAAGCAATTATGGCAAGTGTCATTGATGAGATCTAATTTTGATAGACCAACAATTCTATGTTTTACATAAAAATGATGTAAATTTGGATAGCTTTAGTACCCATATCTGCAATGCTATAATTTGATCCCATCATTGTATCTTATAGCATTTACACTATATAGAGGTTGTTCTCCCATTCTTTGTAAACCATTTGCATGATCTCTATTGCCAAAACCTATTATCCATCTATAATGCACATTGTTGAGAACAAGACATTTATCTTTGATGAAAACAATCAAATTACTTTTGTTAGTTAGCGTGCCTACCAACATTAGATTTCTCTTCAGAGACTATATATAAAGAACATCATCCAACTTTATTTGTCCTTCTCTTGTACATTAGTAACCATCTCTTATTCCTTCAATATTGTGTTTCTCTCTTCCTACAATGCAATGGTTACTGATTTGTTTTTGTTTTCCATAGTTTCAATGAAGTTTAGACATTGTTTTGAACTAGTAACATGTTTTGTTGCCCCTGAATATTCCAACTACATCTTTTGTCTAGATTGTTTAGGAATTTAGTAAAGGCTACTTCTAGTACGTCATCTATAGTTTCAATTTCAGATTCTTTTTTTTGGTTCTTATCCTCCACAAGGTTTGATTGCAATAGCAAGGCTCATGTGACCCTCTTCGGTTTTGACAGTCTCGCGAGTAGTGGCCAGGCTTGCAGCAGACAAAGCACCCTGAGTCCATTTGCCATTTGTACTCATAATGTTTCTGATGGTTTGCCTCTATAGGAATGATGTGCAGATCCCCGACCTCGTCCTGAGTTGTACAAGTGTCTTCCTCCTCGTGTAGAGAGTTGAGATCCTCGTCGGAATTGAACTAAGAGAGTCTCTTCATCGCCTAGGTGTAATTTTTGATGCTGCAGTCGGTGGTGTTCTGTGAGTAACACTACACTAATCCTGTCAAAAGTTGGAAACAATGCACTATGTGTTAGCGTGGGTATGATGTACTCGTAAGATCGGGGCAGTCCATTGAGTACCGCTTGTACAAGAACACGATCAGACACAAGCTCTCCTAGTGCCGCAAGTTTGTTCTTTAATTCTCGTGCCTTGTTGAGATAGTCTTCCATCAGCCCTTCCTCAGAGAGCTTGATTTGGTTTAGTTGATTTGTTACGAATAATACCATGGATGGGTCTCCATTCTGATATAATGCTCGTAATGCTTCCCATGCTGTTGTAGGATCCTCATGTTCTGCCACAATGTCAACCAATGAATCTTCCACAGACATAGTAAGTGCTCTACAAGCAGTGGTTTTTAAATCGTGCAACTGTTGTTCAGTGACATGCATCCCACTAGGTAATATCACTGGAAAGGATGTAGGTAAGATTACGCTTGCCACGACCTCCCACAGGTTTACACACTGAAATATTGCCCGCATTTTTAGTCTCTAAACATGGTAGTTTCCAAGTCCTTTTAGTTTATTGTACTCGCCCACCGTCAAATCTCTACGTTTTGCCATGATGCTATGTATTTCTTACAATCCTATTGTTGTAGTGCAAGAGACGAGTATCGCAATGGTACTCTTTCTGTAGTGCAGTCTGTGATAGCTTGTTTCTCACGATCTTAGTGTAAGAGAGGAGTTTTGCAGTACGATTCTACAGTGCTGCCTTTGACTTAATTTACAATGCTAGTGCCAATCTTGGTGCGAGAGGCAGAGTTTCGCAGTACTACTCCTCAGTGTTGCCTCTGATTTCCTCACAATTCTAGTGATATTATTGAAGAAAAAAAAAAGTTGTTACAGTACTCCACAGTGCTGCCTCTGATTAACTCACGATTCTAGAGAGGAAGAAGGAGAATTTCTCAGTACTCTCTATAATACCTATGCTGATCTTTGGATGTACACTAAAGCTCTCACAGTCTATCCTCTCATCATGACCAGAGCCGCTCTGATACCATGTTATAAATAGAGCTTGATTCCAAAAGATGATTTTTGTGTTACATGTTGCTGGTTATATATAGTGACTCCGAATGTCCTGTGCGGTAGTGAAAATGCGTTTTACTGTGCAGTTAGGCTTTCATAACCAGGAGACTATGAACTAACTCTGTTCGTTCACATCCAGGGCTGGATGATACACAGGAGAGGAAGTGCTTCGTTCATTTCCAACACATTGAAAGAGGTCGACAGAACGATGTGGCGACTTTCAGGCGACCAAGTCGGAGAAAGGGCACCCTTCAAGTAGGATTCCGTTTGGTGAGAGTGCTCGAAGAAGCATCTGGTTGGGAGTGTTGCCCTAGGCAGAACAGAACAGTGAGACAATCAAGGCAGGGCGAAAGGCCAGGGAAGGACAAAGACGCAAGCGCGCACGCATCAACCAAGGGGGCCCTAGACCCCTCACACTAGGTCGCTGCTGCGTAGCGGCGAAACGACCAACCCTGAACTTTCGAAATAAGGTATCACATGCCCATATCGTCCAACATCAAGCATCCCCACATCATTCCTCGACTGCATCTAAAGACATGTACTGCAGTGCCTTCTTACAACGCCATCATCGGGCACCACGACACATGCTAAACCGATAATTTGCTCAGTGGGTTGGTTGTCTTTGGTTTTAGAGGGATCCCAGACGAGTGTGGATTCAGGAATCGGATTTGTGACTCAACACGAGAGAGTTGTTGAGAGGTGCTGAGAGTTGTTTTGAATTGAGTGGGATTGATACGCCATGGCGGCACTCAAGCAAGCTGCCAGTCTGCGAGGTGTGCAAGGCCGCTCCTGGTTGGACTCATTGACCTTGACGTCGGGGAAGGCCGAGAATATGGCGTCCGTTTCGATGGGTGCCACTAGGAGGAGTTACCGGATGGTTGCTGTGCATGCTGGAGTGTCTGGTAAGTGTAGAATGCAATGTGGGGGTGCTGGCGTAGTGTTCTTTTTCGGGTGAATTAGTTTGTGAATTGTGAGGGTAGTAGAGTTTCTTGGTTGTTTTTCTTTTTCTTTTTTGGTTTAGTATGCGCTTTGTTTCAGTCCATGGATTTTTCTGGAAGATTTTGGATCGGAGCGATCTGGAGTTGCTTCTAATTGTAGTGTTCTGACGGACAGGGGGAAAGGCCGTGAAGCCTGCGCAGGAGTCGCCACATGATGGGACGATCAAAAGCGTTGAGCGCGTGATAACCGATGATGAGTCTCCCAAGCCCGGTTTTCTGAATGGGCGTGAAGGTTCTGCGGAGGCCACTGTTTCTATTACTGTTGTGGGTGCTTCGGGAGACTTGGCGAAGAAAAAAATCTTCCCAGCTTTGTTCGCTCTCTACTACGAAGGCTGCTTACCCAAGGTTTCTGGAATGGATACCGCACTACGGGAATTACGAAATTACGAAATTATAATTACGAAATTCTTTTTCCATTTAAAATTACGCATTAAGAGAATTTGTTTTAGTCGCCTAGGGTCTGTTGTTTCCACCTCATATCCACTGAATTACTTCCTAACTGTTGCAGCATTTCACCATATATGGATTTGCTCGGAGCAAGATGACGGATGAACAATTGCGAGAGTTGATATCTGGAACACTCACATGCCGTATTGATCAAAAGTAAGATGGTGGAGGCTCTTTGTATGAGGGTTTCCTCTCTTCAACCAGTTTTTCTCTAATTCCTTTCCAGTATTTAGGAAAGTGCTGCACGTGGTTATGTTCAAGTCTGGTTGTTAGGAATACCTTTAACATTTAGACTTTTCGATTGTTCATAGAGAAAACTGTGGAGACAAGCAAGAGGAGTTTTTGAAGCGGTGTTTCTATCACTCTGGGCAGTACAGTTCTGAGGAGAGTTTTAGTGAGCTTTCTAGAAAACTGCACGAACATGAGGTTTGTTTCTCTCATTTTGTCTATGCAAACTTTAAACTTTTGCATGCATCAGCGCGCTTTGTAACTGTGACGTATCAAGACCTTTTTTATTCCAGGGTTTCGAAATTTGAGATGAGCTTCAGTGACTCTTGTCTACGGGGATGTTTATCTGGTTTGTAACTTGCCGAGAATGGGATTCTAGTTTACACTTCCTACTGCTACTATCACGTGTGATTTTTTGCATTATCCTACTACTATTCCCCTCAGAGCAGCAGAACGTACTTTTTTCTTCGAAACGAATGTTTTTTGTTTCAAGGGGAATTAAGCTTAGAGACGTGTTTGTTATGACAGGGCGGCAGGGTGGCGAACAGGTTATTTTACCTCTCTATTCCCCCTGATATCTTTGTTGATGTGGCCCGATCTTCAAGTAGTGCTGCATCTTCCAAAAATGGTTGGACGCGCGTCATCGTAGAGAAGCCATTCGGTCGGGACTCAGAATCGTCAGCAGAACTCACAAAGGGTTTGAAGCAGTACTTAAATGAAGATCAAATTTATCGGTCAGTTTTATAGTTACTCAAGTGAAAGAATGAGATCAATGTTTATAAGATCTGACGGTTACATGATCATTACTTCACCTGCATTTTGCTCTGGCTCGTCTTTTGCTTTTGGAAATTGCATTTCACATTCGTCTGTACTGTTTTCCTACTCTTTTGACATATGTCTTCACATTCAGAATCGATCATTATTTGGGAAAGGAGCTCGTGGAGAATCTGTCAGTACTGCGGTTCTCGAACCTTGTCTTCGAGCCTCTCTGGTCACGTCAATACATCCGCAACGTCCAATTCATATTTTCTGAAGACTTCGGAACAGAAGGACGCGGAGGGTAAGAACAACTGCTTAAAGAATAACAGAGCAGGATTTTTCATCTATATTTCTGGTCACCGAAGCTCATTGTTATGGTTTCATGATAATATCTATTTCATCAGGAGTAGATCCAATTTAGAGAAGCACCGTAAAATGATCTCCTGGAATTAGCAGTTGTTTATGGAAGTGAGCTGCGAAAGTTGTGAATGGTCATTAATCATTCATGTTTCCGTTGATGTGTGTAGCTACTTTGACAATTACGGCATCATCCGGGATATTATGCAAAATCATCTTCTGCAGATTCTGGCTTTGTTTGCGATGGAACCTCCTGTCAGTCTGGATGCTGAAGACATACGAAACGAGAAGGTATTTTCTCTTCTTCTTCCAGTTTCCAGAAGGATGATTTCCTTTTGTTAGTTTTGTTCAGGTTATGATATTCAAGGCCGTCTTTAAATGATATTGAATTGGTATTACTAGCTGCTGCGGTTAATTAGATTCAACTAATGTTCTTACAAGGAACCAACGTACTTCCACCTGCCGTGGTCTTCTGACTTCTTGGTGATAAGTTCGCATTTGTCATTTTTTCTGAAAACGGATCGTGTTACGCATTAGTTGATTGGTTCCTATGTGGTGTTTGAAGTGGGCTTCATGCTTTGACAGAGGCTCTGTGGGTGCAGGTGAAAGTTCTTAGATCCATGAGAAAACTCGACATGGCTAATGTGGTAATAGGTCAATACAAGGGGCACGTCCGAGGTGGTGTCAAGTATCCTGCCTATATTGATGATAAAACCGTCCCGAACAACAGCAATACACCCACATTTGCTGCAGCTGCTCTCTTTATTGATAATGCTCGTTGGGATGGAGTTCCATTTTTGATGAAGGCCGGCAAGGCTCTGCACAAAAGAGGGTAACAGCTCCTGATTCCTATATTTTGATTTTCTTCCAAAATATAATAGAACATAATCTCACCAGAATGTTTACAATGAATAAGTTTTTTCTCTGTGAATTATTTATAGATGCTTGCACGTTACTACAATGTAAATTGGTGGTTCTTGTAGGGCCGAAATTCGAGTGCAATTCAGGCACGTGCCGGGCAACCTGTACAAGCGGAGTTTTGGGACAGATCTCGACAAAGCAACCAATGAGTTGGTGATCCGTGTGCAGCCTGATGAGGCTATCTACCTGAAAATTAACAACAAAGTGCCAGGTCTAGGCATGAGACTGGACCGTTCGAATCTCAACTTACATTATGCCGCAAGGTATGCACTTTGCATATTCATTCTGCTTTGAACACCTCTTCAATTTTTCTCATGCTGCTTAGAAGTGGCTGTGTATTTCTTTTTCTTTTTTTACCTTTTTCGATTTCTGTATCTTTTTTAGACAGGCTTTGGTTTTGCAAACGAATATGAGTGACTCGTGGACAGGTACGATAAGGAAATTCCTGATGCATATGAGCGGCTTATACTGGACGCTATTGAGGGTGAGCGAAGGCTGTTCATCAGAAGCGACGAACTAGATGCTGCGTGGTCATTGTTTACCCCACTCCTCAAAGAGCTGGAGATCCGAAAGGTCTCCCCAGAGCTATATCCCTATGGTAGCCGTGGTCCAGTAGGTGCCCACTATTTAGCTGCCAAATACAATGTGAGGTGGGGCGACAACAGCTTTGAGCCCACTGAGGATTGAAGCACATCCCTCCATGTCTGCAAATTGAATTTCCTCAAAACCATCTATCATTCCATAGATTATTTTACTACAACATCAAAGTACCGTAGGCTAGTCAAGCAACTGGGCTCCTCCTCCCCTCTGTATACACCCAACTAGTACTGTCCTCAAGCCTGCTATAATGGTGCGACACAAAGCGAGTTTTAAAAACTGTGAAGCCACCAAATCTTGTAGCAGGTGGAACACGGTGACGGGAAAAGAAAAGAAAAGAAAAGAAACTACGGCTCAAGCCGAAACAGAGCTTCCCCCAACCCATACACAATGCAATATCTGTACAGCTAATTCTACTCTCCAACCTTGTGTCCTGATACGTCTACATACACTTGTGTTTTTTTTTTCTTTTTTTTGTTTTTGTTTTTGTACAATCTTCTTCTGCTTCTTACGTTGAGCCGAATGACCCGTTGAGGAAGGATTGTATTTCCAACTAGTCCTCTTGGGAAAAAAACCTTCCAAACTGAAAATCACTCTCTGCTTCAAAGGGAGAAGAAGCACTGGCTCGATGCTGGCTTCGAACTGGCTCCAGGGGATGACGAGGGCCTTGGGGGCTCAGAGCCGGCGGATTCCGCATGGAATTGTCCAGGAGGGGTGTCGCCGCTTGATAAGGGACGCCGTAGGGCACAGCAGTTGGGTACGCGTTCGCGTATGTGGGGAACATGGGACCCTCGCGGTTGTGGCTGGCACGCATAGGAGGATCTGGTGGGTACCCTATGGAAATCTGAGCTGGCATCTGATATGGCGGCATCTCATTGGCTGGGCCATAATGGTTGTCATTCTGTGCAGAAAAAACAACATGAATCAAACTAGCAATATATTTATAATCGAAAAAGAGTTAAAAGAGCTCTTTAGGTATTGCATATTAGAAGGGGGTTTTACTTATTAACATCAAGTGTTACTTCTTTTTCTTTTCTTTTTTGTTTTAATATGATTACCACTTCTGGGTACAATGGCTTCAGGGGTGCTCCATTTATCCTACACAAAATCCATCCACATTTAGTAAAGTTTTTCAGAGTGAAATAATCTGAAAATACAAGATATTAAAAAAAATATCCTCATATACTCATATATTCACATATATATATATATGTATGTATAAATAGAGAGAGAGAGAGAGATTCAACTGTAAGTATTAGACAGCGGAGTGATGTGTGATGCGTGATATGTGACGAAGCATACCTGGGTCGGCACAACCTGTCATGCAGTTTTTCCAGCTTTTCTCTGTCCCTCGCTGAATTGCGAAGAAAGGTTAGAAAAAAAAAATATATATATACCAGGAAGAAAAGGAACTCTTAAAAAGATAAAACGGAAAGACTGGTGTAGCCAAAACATTACCCTCCTGATGAGCATTCATGTGACCTCCGAGGGCTTGATGCTTTCGGAAAGACCTGCCGCAGAATTTGCACTTGAACGGCTCATCCTGCTGCTGCTGCGGCGCTGCATTTCACCGCACGGCAGATCTTAGCGCTAAGACTAGGACCTCCCTTGCCTAAAATTACATCCATCGCGTATCACTTGCGCGCTTGATAGAGCTCGCAACCACGACATCAACCCTCGATAGTACCTTCCGGATGCAAATAGTCTACACTCAGACTGTGTGTCGGCGAAGGAGTTGCGAGGTGGTGCCTTAACCGACCTTTCCATGGGTGTTGTCTAGACCAACTTCTAGAATCCTATAAACTAGGCTTAAGTTGGACCCTGAGAGTTAAACTTGAAAGGGGTCTCGGGGGGGGGGGGGGACCAGTGGGTCGCGACAAGCTTCGCGAAGCGACCCGACGCGACACTTCTCTAGGTGTTGACAATCGCTAAAAGAAAGAGAAAGGAATGAAACACAAAATACACTTAAAAACAAATTACGTATTCTCTCGCACGCGATTCGCTGACGCTGAGGCTTCCGGCGGGGCCCTCAAGTAGTACGGCGCGTCCACGTCGAGGGGGGTCAACGCGTCGAAGCATCGCATGAGGAATCATGAGCGGATTGATCTCCCAGACGGACGGACAAACCATGCGATCGAAATCTTACCTTCAAGAGAGCCGCCGCCGCCGCCGCTACGGAGCATCGCCATCGCCATCTCCATGGTTTCGCTTGATGCGAGGCCAGCGATAGCAAGAGCTGCCCCACCACCACACCAAACCATACCAGACTACGCAATGCTCTAGACACACCCCCCCCCCCCTTTATACATTCTCCGCACAGGCTCCTTATAATTAGGCTTCTTAACAATTCTAGACAGCTGCCAAAGTAAAAGGCCACCAGAACACACCGGGCCACACGACGACCAAGAATAGATTACTTTATTTTTCGAGGATCCACAGCCGTAGCACAAGATCGATTTGAGCATATACCTCAATGGAACTACAAACGAGGGATGTGCAGAAATTTCAGAAAACGAGACTAGACACTGAATCCAAAATTTGCACGAGTTTTAGACTTGCAACATCCTTAGTCACGTCTCCATAGGTAGCTCTATTGTTTCCATTTTAAGACTGTTCCTGCAGCCTTGCAAAGTTCCTCTTGTATCCTCTTTGCACGTTTCTCTTGAGGAGGGGTGAAATTAAAACACCCAGTATCGGCCGGATTTTATTGAAATCCGTCAAAAATTGCAATAATTCCACCGTCTTTGTCATATTCAATGGTCTGGCTTCGCCAATACGCGAGCGGAGGAACCAGCAGCCGCCCTGACCGAGACGTTTTCAAACCGAAAGCTTCAGGAACCTTACTCTTCAACCCGTTTTCCACACGGGGAGGAGGAAGTGGAGGGGGGATTATGGATGTTCGACGATTATTTCGCTTGCTTGAAACTGGGTTGCAACCCGCACTGGATCCCTCACCTGAATCGTCCAGCTTTGATCTCCTAGTCATTGTTCCTTTAGCAGGCTGGCTAGCAGACTTGACTTTCTTTGGGTGATGACTTCGACGTTTCCCAGAAGAGGTTCCCGATTTGTCTTTGTCGGGCAATGAAGTAGTCCCACAGGTTTTTGCAGGGTTCTGAAATTCCAACGGTGAACAATCTTCCTGCTCCATCTTCAGTGCTCTCTCCACCACGAGCTCAGTAGTTGCTTTTGAGCTCACAACACTGGTTTTATAGTCGACCATTGCCTGAGGTGAGCATGGACGCTTGCAATTTGAGCACCTAGAAACCTTTGCACTACTCGAGTAAGGATGTCGTCCTCTAAGATAGAACTCATTCACCGCCTCTTGGAGGGGTGTCGCGGGATCGGAAATTGGTTCCAAAGTTAAGTTCTCATGGTGAGAAGCCGAAGGGTTGGAATTTGGTTCCGTACTTGGGCCCTCTTCAAGGGGAGAGCTGAGATAGGTAACAGATTTCGCACTTTGGCCTTCTGGTTTTGAAAGTCTTCTTGATCGTTTTGCATCTGTAATCGCAGGTTGTCTCAGTCGCCGTTTTAAGGACCGTGTTATACGGACATTGACCTCGGGAAACAGTAATTCCTCGCTTGCTTGTGGCAAAGCTTCAAAGCTAAGTTTATCATGAAAATGGACTCGCGACTGCACCTTGCTCAGAAGCAACTCGGGAGGAGTTACAGGAGCTGATTCCTCCATCTCCTCACTTCCCAACTTGGAAGGAGCTGCAGGAGTAACCTCTTCAATCTTCTCACTCTCCAACTCGAGGAGGGCTGCAGAGGTTGTCTCTTTATCCTTTGCACTTTCCAACACATCCTCGGTAGCTCCTTTCTCGTTCAACTTAAGGGCCTCAACACCATACCTGTCTTTCAACAAGTTCACAGCAACATCTTGAACCTGGCCTGATTTTTTCATTTCCGTTGGTTGCCGTTGAGCAGAAATACTCGAACAACCTGCCTTAAGATCTCCACCTGACATCCACCATAATGGAATACTCGACATTAGCTGACTACACTGTGTTCCCAGATTTATTAATGGCTTGATAACAAGCTAATCCTTCACCAAAATTACTGGAATCGGCATCACTAATCTTAATCATCAGAATCTTTCTAAGTACAAGTTTTGACTCAGAGAAACCCCAGATACCTTGATTTATAGTTTCAAAATCCTCTTGCTGCAAATCATTCAAAACTTCTTCAATAATACTATTAATCGTGGTTAATTCTTTACTTCCAGTTGCGTCTTGCTCAAAATCTAGGGCAACTTTACGAGGTTCCTCCTCTCCAAACATCTCTTTAGTAACCTCCACACCAGATGTGAACTGTTCAACTTGAGCAGTGCCTGAAGAATCCACCAGAGTTTGCAATAATTTCGTCGATCTTGACTGTTGTTGTTGATGCCGTCTGCTACTGCGAACAGGTTGTGCAGAACCTTTCTTATTCTTGCGACCCCTTCGTGCTGTAACAAAGGCCGTATCTAAAACCGATCCACTCTCAGCTTCTTTTGAAAGAGATTCAGAGACAGGTGCTTCGTTGCCTGGAACAAAATCCCAGCTGGTTGGACGAGTAATATCGTGAGAATTGCTCTCATCAATTGCATTAGATGAAATGGTCCTTGCAGTGGCCACTCTCTCTCGCTCCACTGCTTCTCTCTCAACTGAATTAGACATTTCGGCTCGTACAGTAGCCGCTCCTCCTGGTTCAACCACCTCTCTTCCAACTGCATTTGCTGCATCAAATCTTGCACTGGCCGCTACCTTTGAATTCATTGCCCCCATTCCAACTAGCTTTGATGTCTCAAAGCTAGCAGAGACCAACCCCTCTAGCTCTGTTGGTTCGCTATCAAACGCGTTTGAGGCTTCAGCCCAAGTAACGACCACTGCCTCTGTTTCCACTCCTTTTGTCTCAACTCCATCTGATGTAATACACACAGAAACCTCCTCATTCACACCGGCTGCATCAGAAGCACCTCGTCATGACTACGATACATGTACTTGTGGAAAACTCGACTACAATGAATCACTCTGAGCACATTAAATGAAAATAAAGACATTGTGAAACGATTACTCGCAGCTCACATGGTGCAAGGAAGGCACGAGACACTAACGAAAATAAACTGAAGGGTGTAAAAATCTTACCTACAGGGCTGTTACTCTCGCAATGCTTTAAACTGTTTGAGATATCCTTTGGAATTACTCCAGAGGTTTTCAGATCAACGAAACCCTGACTCTCGTCCTCTGAGGCACATTTAGAGGCTTCTGGATGAAGACCTCCAATACTCTCGCTTACGGCCAAGCTAGAAGACAACCCAACAGTTCTCACCCTCAAAAGTTGCTTCCACATGTAGGGAAAACCTGCCGATAGAAAACAAGGGTCTCATTCACACATGAGCAACATGAGATCCTTCGCAATGAACTACACAGGGATGTACCAATGCACAAAGGGTGCAAAATTTTGCAGTTCCTCGGACTGCACATTATGCCTACCACGACAAATCTGCTCCTGCACCCACCATTCGATAAGCACTGAACAATTCCAGGGGCGAAGCCGTTTGCAATCGAAGTCCCCAGGTCCATGCTACCCTCTAGAGAAACTTCAATATCGTCCTCCGTAACAACCTGATGAAAATCCACACGATTCACAATACACCTGGTTTTGACATGCTCTCCATTCTGTAAGAGCCGACCCCCTACAGCAATTTTTGTCTCGACCACCCTGATCGGGATAACAAAAACACGACAAGTCAGAAAATTTGCACATCACTAACATATGTTGTGAGAAACATTCGAAGTAGAGAAGCAATGAATTTTGCGCCCTGTTTCCTTTTCAAGGAATGGATTAATCAAGTGAATTCATTTTCTTGAATGAAATACAATAGAAAAGGAGTAATTACCTGCCAACATTGGTAATTTCAACCTTGATGATATACCAGCCAGTTAACGAGACCGGGCCTTGGGTGATCAATCGCTCTGTGGCCGCCTCCTGGACTGCATTGTCCTGGTAAGAAGGTTCCAAAGAGTTCTCGGGTATCCCAAGAGGATTTTGAGAAGCTGTGTGCGTACTCTGCGTTGAGCGACCGGAATCTACGACTGGTCTATGAGGGGTTTCGGCCAAAGCTGTAGGCAATAGCCCTGTTGCTCTACCCGACAAAGACACGCGGTCCTGCGAAACCATTGAGAGCAGACAAGACATGAAGACAATGAATAAATTTTCTTGCTTATGAATCATAGAAACGCACTTCAATATTTGATCCTTGTTTCTCACGTTCAATATAAACACAACTGATCGGAACCGTCCATGCATTCATGAATTGCGAAACAATGCTAATAGCTCTACTACACAGGCCACTAAACCTCATTAAGGTCTCCGACTCCAATCGAATGGCCAGAGATCATAGTTGCCAAAGAATGCCTTAGACAAAATAAAATGAAAATCACTTTGATGATACAGACCTGCAATCTTGGATTTGCTGGCCCAACCCTTGACACAGACTTAGTTGCTCTCTGCCAGCAATTTTCCTCAGCGCCATCTCCCGAGTAAGCCTGTCGTTGACAAGACCATCTTTGTCGAACTCTAGCATCAGCATCGCTAAAGCCATTCATTGGCGCAGAACTCTCTTGTGCTCCAACATGAGGCTGTTGATCGAGCATGTGGTGGCTTGCTTGTGAATCTGAAAGCGCTGGGTGGGAAACTAGATATGATGTTCGTCTACCCTGGAAGTTAAGAGCAGCTTCGACACCATCAGTCGGTCTTGTCACATTCAAATGTTTGATTGTTGTTCAAGCAACCAACCTACTTCATACTCATATCTTTCAGATCGCCTGAAACCAAATAAAAGACTACGAATCTTCGACCCACCCCAGTTTCGTATACTACGAACACGCTATTTATTCTTTAACAGGACGAGTCGACTTCTTGTGGGGATTACGAAATCTATAATTCCGATAAGAGTGAAGTAGTGGAAATCGCGTGTGTATCACCAGGATCCCCCTAATTCTCTACGATGTGAAAAAACCTCGAAGTAGTTGCAGTCTGCAATCAGCAGCATGTACTAGATTCAATCAGTGCGTCATATCCTAAACATACAAGCGCATTCCAATTATACATCCAACAGGACTATTTAACGTTGGAGCAACAACTACCCATTCTAATTCCCAGAGCGCTAAACTACAGGATTTGCGGCAAAGCATGTCGCTGTGCATTGCAAAAGAAAAGGAGAGGTGAGAAAGATATTTGAAAATAAAAAAACTGCGACTATTCCTACCACATTGAGTAGGAGAATCAAGATTGAATTTGCGACAGAGGTCAACTTATTTCCTCTATCAACTGAGTGATTTTTCCTCGACGGCAGGTGGGGGCAGCGACCAAGTACCTGGCAGATCAAGCGCTCGAGCTCTGCCTCAGCGAAAGAGTTCCTGGTTTCACTACGTTCTCCTACTCCCCCAATCGATTCTACAGGACGCGGCTGCCGGAACCTTCCATCTGCGAATTCCATAGTGTCCGCTTTCGCACCTGGATTCACAGACCTAGAAAGCAGCTCGCCAAAATTACGAGAACAACGTCTCCGATCCTCCGCTAGCCGATCATCGGAGTCCTTATAATTCAGCCTCTTTTGACTTAACCAGTACGAATGGCATCCGGAAAGACACCCAGAAGTTTGTGAATGCACGAGGCTCGCCATCTGCAGCGCCTTCTGCTGCTCTTGCAGCAATAAGCGCTCTAATAAAGTGCCGGAATCCAATCTTAGGTGATCACCATAGCTGTGTCTGCGCGCAACATAATCATAATCTGGCATTTCGAACTCCCCACCATGCATATAATGTGGCCTGCTTCTTCCATCGTGCAAGAAAGGTGGTCTGGGAGTGTGTGCCCTTGAGGCAGACGAAAGAGGAGGCACCGCTCCCATCCTTCCGTGGTATCCCTGGAGCTCAACAACTGTGCTTGCCGAAGGGAAGTGTACAAACTCGGAAAGCGAGCCCTCCACCTCGGATTGCAATTGACACGACATCGCAACGACCCCAATTCTCCTCGTAAACCCTAAACCCCTCTCATCAAATCTCCCCCAACTCCATCCCACCAGTTCAATTGCACAAATCACCAATCTCCCACATCACACCACCTCCCAGCTCTTCATTTCCTGTCTCCAGCTGGGCCTGATCATCAACCTACGAAGCGAAAACCCTAATCGAAACTCACTAAGCTGCCCTCTCCCACTCGAATAAGCATTGCTATCCTCTCACAACAGCACAACTTTCACAGACAATGCGCGATTCTGCGTTGAAAACACCGGCGCTTGCAGCAATGCAACAGGTGGCCTCTGTAGATTGTGATTCTGAACAGTCAGGCCCCGATGACAAATCTACAGCGGCGAATATATCACGAAATGTGCAGATTGCCAAGGATCATCAGCTGCTCTCAGCGGAGCGAGGCAACGCTGTCACTTCATCGCCATACGAGCTACGCCGGCTTCACGGGGTGTGGCGCAGGCGAGCAGTTGCAACCAACGGGATTCGAACTCTTGCTCGCCCAGTTTCGAAAAGATTCGCTCCTCCGTCGTCGCGTGGAGAGTAAGTGATGTATACACTGAGAATCGAACTTTCGCTCTGCCCCTCTCGGAGAGGACGCCTGAGTTTAAATCTTTTAATTTAAGATCGGTGTATGATTATTAATAGGTGTTGCTTATTTTGGTCCTTGATGGATTGTATAAGATAAAAATAGAAAAGATTCGCTGTGTGTTTTTGATGATTTTGAAATGTAGAATCAATGTGTTTGGATTTGTGTTTGGATTTGTGTGTGTATATATTTGCAAAGTTTTATTGAAGATTTTTTTAATACTAATTTGCTTGTTGGCAAAGGGGACTAAAATGATTAGTGGCTAATAAGTGAAAAAAAAAAAAATTATGGTTAGATCTAATCATGTTTATTTTTTTTTATTTCAATACTCTATCACCATTCTATGTTGTTATTATATTGTGTTTTTATAATCAAATTCTTATTCCATATAAAAGGATAAGTATAGAGTTTGTAAAAAACTCTATTATGCTACTCTAACAATTTCTTGCATATGTCTTATCTTTTCTTTTTTGGTTTAGCTTTATTTTTTTCCCAAAAGATTATGGATCCACATTTTTTTTCAAAAAATCTTGTAATAGAATATTCATTAGGTTGAATCTTTTGAAGATTAATAATGACTGAGTATTTCATCAATTGATATAAAATCAAAAATAACAATAAACTACTGTAATTTAAAATAATTTTAAAAATAAAATAAAATAAAATAAAATAAAATTGGAATTATTAATACAAAGTTGTATCACAAGAACTTTTCTTACACCACTTTTTGTAAATGATAAACAAAAGCATAAAATGACTATGTTATATTTGTTAAAGTAGAAATATTTCTATTATTTTTTTTATTAGATATATGTCATTTGAATGTAAGTTTAATGAAGTTGAAGATGTGTTAGCTTAGGTTATTCAAATCAAAATACTTACAAAACATATGTACTACCATAATATTATAGTTTAAAAAAAGAAAAAAAAAAAGAAAAAAAGAAAAAACTAATAAACTAATAAATTCAGTAATGAGATTACTAGATTCTTATAAGAGTTTGACTATTGCTTCTTAATAAATTATTTAAAGACCTTTTAATAGACCATTTTAAGGAAATATTACCATTTTAAATAATTGATTAAAGAAGAAAAAAATAAAAAATTATAAAACATAAACAAGTAATTAGTATCAAAAACATATTAAGATAATCAGAGTTGTTTTTGCCATTGTTTTGATGTACGAGATTTCTTGATCTTTTCTAAATGAAACCAATTTTATGTATTTTTTAAAGCTAAAAATTATAAAATATAATAATAATAATAATAATAATAATAATAAAACACCAACAATATAAGAGTAGAGTATAGAAGAAATAAAAATGCTATTATGGCTCCTAAAAGAAGCCTAACATCTTTTATGTTTAAGTAGATTATAGATTTGGATGTTCAAATTAATTAAAGCTTTACGTTTATTTCTTTAATAATTATGAAAAACTTAATTTACAAGAATAATTTGTAAATATAATAATAGGGCTATGCAAATTGGAATAGACCATGTTGTTGCCTAAAATCTATTTTTAGAATAAAATAAGATCCATTCAAGAATATTTTTTATATTCTTTAATAAAGCTCTTAACTACTTTTAAAAAATAAAAATATTTGAAGATTCTATTGTACAAATTAATTTTTAAAATTTATTTATTATGAAATATTTTACTTTAAAAATTGAAGATTATGACAAGACTAGACAATAATTTATATATTGTTAATTTTAAAAATTAAAGTTTAATCTAATAAAATTTGACTCCAATTAAAATAGGTTTAAAATTTAGCATCATGACTTGAGCCATTTTAATATTAAAATACTTAAATTTCTATAATGTGTTATATTTTTAGATACATCTTTTAATACTTAAAATATTCATAAATATAAACAAGAAAAATATAAAATATGATAACTGAATTTTACAACACATAAATTCTATAGATTTATTATTTATATATATTATTTATAATAATATAAAAGAATCACAATATTTTAAAAAATTTACAATAAAGAAGGTGTTATTTAAAAATTAATTAATTTTTATGAGAAAAAATAACTTCAAAAGTATATAAAAATCATGTATTTTTTGCAATACATGCAAATTATGTCAATAGAGTTTATTTAAATAATCAATTGTTATTATATTAAATTATATTATCCATCAATATAATCAAATAGAAAAGATTTTTATAGACAAATATAAATCTTTTTTTTCAAATGCAATCTAGAAATTGACTTATCTACTTTAAAATTGTTCATTTTTAGTTTATTTAGAAATTTTTATTTAAAAAGGTGCATTAGATAAAGAAAGATTATTTAGAATTTTAATAATTTTTAAAAGATATTTACAAATGACAAATATTGATTTTAACAAGATAATATGTCTCTAAGTTTTCTATCATTAAAACTATTTTTATATTTTATAATAGAAATAAAATTATAAATTCAATAAATATATATTTTGAAAATAAATAATAAAAAGTTAGTCTCCATTTTAATTTTTGATATTTATCATAATCACAAAAATAAATAACCAGCTTATATTTTTATTTCTACATTTTTTTTCATTATCTTTCTTAATAATAATAATAACATGATCATAAAAAAATTTCAAGTAGAAAGTATATTAATAATAATAACATGATCATCAAAAATATTCAAGTAGAAAGTATATTAATAATAATAACATGATCATCAAAAATATTCAAGTAGAAAGTATATTACTGTGTGTACATATTTATCCACACAATAAAAAGGGGTGTCTGTCTAACGATTTCTAAAAAATTAGAAACATTATATTGTTCAGACATTTGAAGGAGACAAAATTAACCCAATTTGGGAAACACCATATAATTTTTATAAAAAAAAAGTATTAACTTTTGTATTCTCTATTTTACTTTTTGTCTACATTTCTTAAGAGCTTAATGTAATTTATTTTATGTTGAAAATTTTAAGATATATACATATGTGTGGAGAGATAATATGTTTAAAATCCAACAATGTAGTCCACTTCGTCCTCATTTCCTTTTTCCTTCCCATGTTTTTCAATATTAACATTTTATTTATATATTCTCAACGCCACTAATGGCACCCACAAGAGCTCTCAACAGACACTAACCCCAAAAAAAAAAAAAAAAAAAAAAAAAAAACATTACCTGTTTGCTAGAGTTTCTTATTCATGTTAAGTGTTCTCTTATTCAGAACCCAGCTTTAATTGTTGCCTCATTTCAATGTCTATACAACATTTTTTGGGACCATTCTTCCACAGGTTCTGCTTTCTGAGGGAGTAGCAGAACGTGCAAGAGTGTGCATGAACAGCTTCACAATATCAGTGAGTTAAGTTTCTCGTATGAAATGCACCACAATGGTTAAGTAGCTTGAATCTGGTTGAATGACTAGAATTCTATCACAAACTGCAAGTACTCCGACGATAAGAAATCGACACAGTTTATGAAAGACAGAGTTGGTTCATGCAGTAGCCAAGTTCACTGCTAAGCATGAAGAAGAAGAAGAAGAAGAAGTCTCCTCCTCACGTACTGCAACATTCAGTCATCTTTGAGGAGTCCACACACCACTTTTCATGGTATCGTTTCAACATTTGCTGGATGGTTTTTCTGTTCGTTGTGTATGCTTGTGCTTGGGTGCAATACACTGTGTTGTCGATTTACTGCCACTGGGTGTGTAAGCACTTGCTGTCCTTCCTCACGTTTTTTTTATCTTAATTTTTGCATCGAGACTATCTCCGTGGTTCTAAGATTGTGGTAAGCTTTCAACTCGAGGCATGCAGTTGATACAATGTTGAAAACTCTCATTGCTATTAGAAACTCATACAATCATGATGAAAGAAAATGATCTTACACACATTTACATATATCCAGTACAATATATATATATATATATATATATATTACCGCACTGCCATTTTCATAGTTAAGAGTAACGGTGACTGGTAGATAGAGCCTTATCTTCCATTGTCTATTTTTAACTGTTAATTAACTGAGATAACTTAGTAACTGTGGTTTTATTTTAACACTCCCCCTCTCCTTGACAATCCGTTGAAGTACTATTTTCTAAAACACACAGGCTGACTTATTCTTTTTTCTGATTGTCTAGTGTCATCTTCCAATTATGACTAGTCAATCTTCTTATTGTATGGAGTTTTAGAATTGGAATCATCACAAGATTGTGTGACAAATTTTTGTGGTAGGTTTATTATTTAAAAGAAATGCTATTTGTTTTTGATGAAGACAATTTTTGAAGGAGGAGTCATGTCTTATACTTTTTGCCTCCATTTTCTTGCAACAATTATGTGATCATGTTGCCATATTTGTGGGCAATTATTTCATTGAATCTATTGCTCAAAGATTCAAAGAGCCTCCCTTATTTGTTTGTTGTGCTCCCTTCTTATTGCACCAAAGTTTTGTCTACATTAATGTTCTTTGTTCCAAATGAAATTATAAAACAAATTCAATAGCCAAAATTAAACAATCTTTGTTCACCATTGTTGTTGTGGCAATTAAGACATGTATACAAAAGGTGGTCAAAGTTTGTACCTTCAACATTGGAATAGCAAGCTTTCAAAATTATGAAAATTGATTATTGTGGTTATATAGTGACAATTTCAAAGAGCATTTGAAGTTTTGTTGGTCTAATTAAAAGATTAAGAAATGAGATCAATTGCATCTCTTTTCTACTAGATGAAAATCTTGTTAAATTTTTTGTATTCAAATTGCAAGATTGTGTATCAAAGGATGCAACATATTAAGAACGTTCTTTAGTGTTTGTTGAAAAAGGTGGAATCTGACATTGTGTTGAACCTTAGTCCTTTTGTATAGCTACAAGACTACAAACTCCAAGATCTTTCTTGAATTTTCAAAATTTTATTTAGTTAAGAAATTTAGTCATGATGTTTGCAATTTATTTGAAGGTAGGCACATAGAACAAGTCAACTACACTTATGAGAACATTCTTACAAATGAAATGGTGTCATTCTTTGACATGTT